TCTCGCACAAGAGAGCCGCATGTTTAGAAAGCTATGTAAAATTAATGTAAGTTCAACTTTTAAAAAACATGTATCAAGACTTTATGGCAGTTTTTCCCCATCCCACTGCATCTCAAGTTTTTAAATGAAGAAAGTACTCTTTGTGATTGGTTTTCGGTCCTTTGTATTAAACTATACATACATACATGATGCTGTTTTGATTCTAATTTTTTAAGCAACTTTATTAATTATTGTTTATAAACATTATGCACTTTTTTCAAAGATAGTCGTGTTATTTTATTATGCTTTGAAGAAATGTGCATAATATTTTGCTCGATGCGCCCGCTTTTGGCCTTAGGATAGAAGCCAAATGCTTTTCCCCCCCCTTAACTGAAATTATGCCTTTTAATATTGATAATATTTAAATAAAAAATTCGAATTTAGTTTTTCAGCCATTTTGACAGCCCTAAGAGGTTGGGAGCTGAGCTATTTGAGCCTTAAGATTTTTTTATATTAAAAAGTATCTCTTGCAAATTGTGTAGTCAAACTTTGAAGTGTTACTAGTACAACTCATTGTGAAATTCATAGACATTTACATTAAGAGAACATATTGAGATATTATGTTGCCTTCAAATTAGGGATGCGCAATATTATAGGAACGTTATCAAAATCAGTTGATAAAGGCTTAAAAACGTAAACATCGGCATCAGCCAATTTGAAAAAAATTATGCCAATATGTCTTGCCGGTAAGACGAATAGCTCACATGTGCTCAGGGTGTGTTAGCGGTAAGATCACGTCACCAGTGTGGTCATTCTTTAAATTAACCTTGGGCTGAATGGTGATTAGATTGACTGTTTTGGATCACCTCATTTAATTTGAGAAAGTATGTACAGAATGATGCGTCTGGGGCCTCATGTATAAAACTTTACGTAGATTTCATCCTAAATGTGTGCGTACGCACAAAAGCTACAGTTTTAAGATTTATAAAGCCATGCATACGCCAGAACCTGCGCAAAATACCCTTTATAATACCTAGTCAGCGGAAGATTGTGCGTACGTGAACCTCCACCCCGTCTCCTCCCCGAAATAGCCATTTATGGAGCCTTACAACGCCTAGTTATAATATGCATAACATCATCTGCATATGATTTCCATGCATATTCCATCCACGTGACACCATGTTTAACGCAGTTAAGAGTTGGAATACGTTAGGAAAATATGAGATTCGGACTATATTAAGTATTTTCTCAGAACATGAGTTTTGCTATTTAGAACACAATTTAAAGCGGAATTGTCATGCACCAAGCAATCCTCGCTGTGATTAAAACATTAAATCTCATACCACAGGAAAATTGTTCGAAAGCAGCACATCCACTGCAAATATTTCTGTTTAAATTCATATACAAATGTTGTAATTTCTAGATAATAATTTCCATATGGTGCACACCTATATGCCTAGTTTATTTTTTATAAATCCCGATATGTGCGTGGAAAATTGCGTACACACATTTCCATGCCCATTTTGCAACGTTTATACACTAGGCCCCTGGTGTGTGAAAAGAGTTAACATTTACAAGCGCATGCAGCAATGGCAGACTCCAGTTGGTGTCAAAATTCACGAGTATGTTTTAATTTAAAGGTCAAACTCTATAGCTTACTTGAATAAAACATTTTTAAAAAATCACAAACATGACACTTGTAAATGAAATAATTGAATCTAGCTACAGATTTATTCATTAATATGAAACTTTTTATATTATAAAACTTGAATACAAGGAGCTCTAAAAGATTTTTAGAATTTTTAGTTTTTTTTGCTTTAGACCATCTATTGATGTTAAATCCACAAATAAAATGTTAAGGTTTCAACTGCATCTTTAAAAAATGCAGAGCTTGCCTTTATCATCAATAGTTATTTTCAAAGCTTTCAATGCACTCTCGTTAAAAAAGAAATTTAATAATGTTCATTTGTTCTAACAAATAAGTTTTATTTTTGTTAAAAATAATTTGTCTAAAATTTATACACAGGAGAGACTCTGTGTTGTTTCAAAACAAAAGCAAATATCGGTATCGGCTTTTGCTATCAGCCAAAATGATTTGCAAAATATTGGCACATCGGATATCGACAAAAATCTAATATTCATAATCATCCCTACTTCAATTTATTCCTCAAATTTTCTTTACTTGATCTCGTCTTTAATTTACCTTCATAAAAACTGCAAAAATCCTGGTTTGTAACAGATTACTCAAGATGACAATGGGCCTCATTCATGAAACACAAGCAGAACGAATTTGTGTGTAAATCGTTCGTAAAGCCGTTCTGACGTAAACTTTCAAATTCATGAAAATGTATCCAGAGCACGTACACACTTCACGCACCGGATGCCGTGCGCGCGCCCAAAGCAGTTGGACATAGTGGTGTATTAGAGGTAAAACATTATATAAATACTGTTCGGTTTCTTGCACAAACTGATCGTTTCGTGTGTTAGGACATCAATGTGTCGTCACGAGCCACAGGGTTTAATTTGGATTTGTCTGTGAATGTTTTTTTTACTCTCTTAGATTTTGTTACCATTGCCATGCATTATACGACGCGCATCCCTACTTCAATTTATTCCTCAAATTTTCTTTACTTGATCTCGTCTTTAATTTACCTTCATAAAAACTGCAAAAATCCTGGTTTGTAACAGATTACTCAAGATGACAATGGGCCTCATTCATGAAACACAAGCAGAACGAATTTGTATGTAAATCGTTCGTAAAGCCGTTCTGACGTAAACTTTCAAATTCATGAAAATGTATCCAGAGCACGTACACACTTCACGCACCGGATGCCGTGCGCGCGCCCAAAGCAGTTGGACATAGTGGTGTATTAGAGGTAAAACATTATATAAATACTGTTCGGTTTCTTGCACAAACTGATCGTTTCGTGTGTTAGGACATCAATGTGTCGTCACGAGCCACAGGGTTTAATTTGGATTTGTCTGTGAATGTTTTTTTTACTCTCTTAGATTTTGTTACCATTGCCATGCATTATACGACTGATAGACCGCAACGGTTGGAGTTAAAAATCATCATTTGTGTTCTACTGAAGAAACAAAGTCACCTACATCTTGGAAGCCCTGGGGGTAAGCAGATAAACATAAAATTTTCATTTTTGGTTTGAACTATCCCTTTAAGTAAACGATTAAACAATTTAATAATGCAACTGAAAACACAAAGCCATTAATATGACAACTGAATACAATAATAATAAAATTAATACAGCAATTTAAATTTTCATAAGGATTTATTTTTAGGCGTCGTCAATATGTCAGTATTGTATGTTTTAGTGCCTGTGAAAATGTAAGTAAATGTATGTTTTGTAGAACCACATTTTACGTCAAATACATATGAATTATCATGAGATCACGTTGCAAGTTCATGGTATATGTACTGAATTCCTTCTCAGCTCTTCCCAGGCATTGCTGTTGATTTAACTGGGTTATACTGTTTAAGAATAAAGCAGAAAGTTATGATCAAAGTAATTCGGTGTTTTGTGTACATTGTGTGCAAAAGTTTAAATTTTCATGTTCATATTCATGTCATTTCACAATTATGCCATCATTATTAACATACTGGTTTTCAGTATTTCAAAGGACCAAGTCACCACTTTAGCTGAGGGGCCACACACATGATGAAGTCATAAGAAACTAATGCTTAGTTAATGATGACTACTGTATTTGGATGTCAACAGAATTCACATGCTATGTGCTGTGATTGGCCAATGTTGGGGTCTGTCCATTTATCTGCAGGCTACTATGAAGAATATATGAACATGCTTGATAACTCAGATCATAATTAATGAAAAACATTACTTCTCACATTAATTGATAAACTGTTGTAGCCTGTATGCATGCATGAGGTAATGCAGATTTTTGTATATTCCTTTAATAATTCAAGTAGTCTTACCTGCACAAAATAATGCTATTTTTATGCACAAATTCAAGATGATTCATGTACCATAAGCATAGATTTATCCAAAGTAGATAGTAAAGACCTTTTCTTTCTTTTTTTTTTGTGAACAAAGAAAACATCATGATCATGCATAATAAATCATGATGATGTATCCATCTAAGTTAATGTCTTAATTAAAGTGTTGTTCATCCTTGATGTCATGAATGAAAGACTTTGAACTCGTCTTAGTTCCTGATAATTCATGAGATATTAATACATGAAGGCATAATTCATGCATGAATTCATGTACCCTTACCGTAAAGTTTTTTATTATTTTTTCGCAGCTGAGTTGATAACAGTAAAACGCAGTGCTCGTCACTGTCACTATTTACCCAGCCGTAAATAGAGGGCAGGTCAGACAAATACATCCTACTTGTACAATGACTGCCTACAACAATGGAGAAGTATAACTGGTTACTGCTTTTTTATATTTAGTACAATTCTTACAAATGAGATAGTAATACTTTGGCGCCATGGATATTCCAAATCATAGCAACTAAAGCATCTCAGCTGGAAAAACGCTGTGCCACCAAAGCATTCTCAAGCGCCACCATCTGGTCGTTTTAAGAAGAGCGCCTGGAATTTTTTCAACTGTTTAAAAACTCTTAGGTGGGCACACGTTATTGAATATTTATTGTTAGGCACATGGCCTATTAGTCTTTTTTTTGCATTTATGCAATATACTGGAGCCAAACCTCAAAGTAGACCAGAATATTCCACTGCGTTCCTGGACACGCAATTTGCGTAGCTGTAATTCATAGGCGGGGATTATACTAATTGTGAATGAGCTTGCACGAGCATCCTATTTACGAATTAATGGAATTCATTAACATACACGTTTAACTATCAAATCGGACATTTACAAAGCATTTGTGAATCCGGATAAGAGTTTTCAGGAAGGTCTGTTTTACGTGCAAATTACTCCGAATTTACTCAACATTTACACAAGTTTCATGAATGAGGCCCATTGAGTGTAAACAGGGTCTTGCAATTTTTTTGTTATCACCTGCCATGTTGCGTGACCTACCTGGCTCTCCATCTGGGGTGCTGCTTGCAGTGCTTCCCTGTGACAGCGACATGCAGCTGGAGTCCTCGTCGCTGGGAATGCCATTCTTACTGAACAGCAAACAAGCATTTCTGCTGCCACCTTCACCTCCTTTCTTCTGAATCTCAGAAGAATCGGTGTTCTCGCCTCCACTGGGATTTAAATTTTCCTCTTTCTCTCTTTCTACTTCCTCGTCTCTCGTCTGCTCTTGGTTTTCTTGATTATTCTCCATCAGAGTGATAGAAGAGTAAATCAGAAGAGGTTCATCAGCTGCCCAACTGTGCAGGTCAGAGCAGAGCGCTTTCAGGGTCTTGTTCTTCTCTTCATGGCGCCGCTGTGAGTTCTGGTTTGGGTTTCTGTCAGTGGATTCATTCTTGTTTTCAACCAGGTTAAGATTCTGGTCTTGCTGCTGCTGCTGCTCTGCTAACTTGCATATGTACAATTCTTACAAATGAGATAGTAATACTTTGGCGCCATGGATATTCCAAATCATAGCAACTAAAGCATCTCAGCTGGAAAAACGCTGTGCCACCAAAGCATTCTCAAGCGCCACCATCTGGTCGTTTTAAGAAGAGCGCCTGGAATTTTTTCAACTGTTTAAAAACTCTTAGGTGGGCACACGTTATTGAATATTTATTGTTAGGCACATGGCCTATTAGTCTTTTTTTTGCATTTATGCAATATACTGGAGCCAAACCTCAAAGTAGACCAGAATATTCCACTGCGTTCCTGGACACGCAATTTGCGTAGCTCTAATTCATAGGCGGGGGTTATACTAATTGTGAATGAGCTTGCACGAGCATCCTATTTACGAATTAATGGAATTCATTAACATACACATGTTTAACTATCAAATCGGACATTTACGAAGCATTTGTGAATCCGGATAAGAGTTTTCAGGAAGGTCTGTTTTACGTGCAAATTACTCCGAATTTACTCAACATTTACACAAGTTTCATGAATGAGGCCCATTGAGTGTAAACAGGGTCTTGCAATTTTTTTGTTATCACCTGCCATGTTGCGTGACCTACCTGGCTCTCCATCTGGGGTGCTGCTTGCAGTGCTTCCCTGTGACAGCGACATGCAGCTGGAGTCCTCGTCGCTGGGAATGCCATTCTTACTGAACAGCAAACAAGCATTTCTGCTGCCACCTTCACCTCCTTTCTTCTGAATCTCAGAAGAATCGGTGTTCTCGCCTCCACTGGGATTTAAATTTTCCTCTTTCTCTCTTTCTACTTCCTCGTCTCTCGTCTGCTCTTGGTTTTCTTGATTATTCTCCATCAGAGTGATAGAAGAGTAAATCAGAAGAGGTTCATCAGCTGCCCAACTGTGCAGGTCAGAGCAGAGCGCTTTCAGGGTCTTGTTCTTCTCTTCATGGCGCCGCTGTGAGTTCTGGTTTGGGTTTCTGTCAGTGGATTCATTCTTGTTTTCAACCAGGTTAAGATTCTGGTCTTGCTGCTGCTGCTGCTCTGCTAACTTGCATATTTGATTCTGATCTTCCTTCATCCACTTGGCATTGCTCTCGGAGCCTGGAAGACTGTGCTCATTCTCCTGATTTCTGCTCCATTCATCTTCCTGGTGCCGGAGGGATACATCATCATCATCATCATCATCATCATCTAGTCCAGTGTTAATGCCTTTGAGGAGCTGGATAGAGTTTGTGCTGCCGTAATTAAGTTGACTCTTCAGAGAGAAAGGATTTGACCCACGAGTCTCTGTCAGGCCCAACTTTCTTTCATGTGATAAGCAGAGGTGGTCAAGGTCCAGGGAAGGTGGGATGTACGTGTTTTCATTGAGCAGGTCTGATGGGCTCTTCACAGACATGGCACAGAGCTGTAACATACATGCACATTTAGAAATCACACACTGTAACAGCATTAAAAATATGATATCTCACACACAAACACAAACTCACTGTCATAAACATGGGGCCCTATCATACCCCTGGCGCAATGCGACGCCAAGCGCAACAAGTGTTTTTTGCTAGTTTCAGCCCGACGCAGTTGTAATTTTCACGTCCTGTGCCACGTTGTTTTAATAGCAAATGCATTTGTGCGCCTATGGGAATGCTGGTCTGAAAACGAGGTGTGTTCAGGCGCATTGCTGGTGCATTGCTATTTTGAGGCAACTGAAATAAACTGCGCCATTGACCAACTAAAACCTGGTCTAAAGTCAATGGCGCAGTATGTTATATAAAATTTTTTATTTAGAGAGAGCGTCAGTAATATGTGCCTATAGGCGGGTCCACAACATGCGTACACTCTGCTTATTACACACACAGGGTGCAGCAGCACACAAACATGCCAAATATATATATATAAAAAAAAGGATTACAATCTAAAAGATTATTATTGTGTAGGCTACATAAATATAAAAACGCCTACATGTCATCAGGCCCAGATTAAGAACACATAGGGCCCTGGGGCTATAGCAAACCGCACACACACAGGGTGCAGCAGCACACAAACATGCTAAATATATATATATAAAAAAAAAGGATTACAATCTAAAAGATTATTATTGTGTAGGCTACATAAATATAAAAACGCCTACATGTCATAATGGATAGTCATTGCATATACCAGAATTAGGCTACCTATTCGCTCGCACATTAGCAGCTCCGTTTCCTCTCTGGAGATGCATTCTGTCTTTGTGCTTGCAAATTCCACCGTGTAAATAGTGAATCCGCCATGGTGCGAGCGCAACTGGCTCTTAAAGGGAATGGGAGATGAGACTCTGAGATTGGTTTATTGCACGTTATGCCCAAAACACACCCATTACTCATGAAGAGATTAGGGACAACCCTTTTAGACCATGTGCCATGCACGCAGACAGTTTTTCCCATTGTTAAACTATAGTGGATTCGGACACACCCTAAGTGCACATGCGCCGTGCGCTTTAGACCAAGCGCTTAGATCGTTAAAATAGGGCCCAAGATAATCCTGGCCATTACAATTGGGGTTAATAATTTTACATGTCAATATTAACTATTCACATCTAAGGATTGCTTCCTGTACATTTGTGAATGGCTTTCTGTGCATTTGTGGATCCTGAAACATTTCTAGCATCAAGCTACAAAAACATTTCTAGCATTCAAGCGCATACGTCGTGATACTCTCCAAAATGGCACCCTAGGGTGACGTGGAGGATAAGAATTGTTGAATAAATTTGTTATTTTAACTTTCTTTGCACACAAAAAGCATTCTTGTAGCTTCATAAAATTACAGTTGAACCACTGATGTCACAGACATCAGATTTCATCCAAATTCATTCTCAGATTTCATCAAAAATATCTTAATTTGTGTTCTGAAGATGAACGAAGGTGAGTAATTAATGATATAGGGCCTAATTTTCATTTTTGGGTGAACTATCCCTTTAAACATGAAAAACCAGAGTCAGTGTCGCTTTTAGTTAGAATTACAACTTGATTTTCTGTTAAAAAGCAGCTCTCCAGTGTGGAGCTAGCTAATGATATTAGTGAGGGGGAAAATAATTTTCATTAAAGTGATAGATTGGTTTGCAGAGATCAAAGCTTGATGTAGTACAGGACTGTTTTGATTATCATAACCCTAGAAGTATTTTAAGAGAGATGATTATGCTGTGAATTAGGGCTGGGCAATATGACCTAAAAGCAAAACCTTGATAAATTGAACACTTTACCTCGATTACGATTATTGAACGATTATTTTATTTACATTTACATTTAGTCATTTAGCAGACGCTTTTATCCAAAGCGACTTACAATTGGGGGATACATAAAGCGATTCTTCTTAAAGAGGCAAACAGACACAAGAAGTGGTTGTAATACCAAGTTCTTAGACATTGTTCAAATAAGTACAAGCTAGAAAGAGAAGGAATAAATAAAGAGAGATACTTTTTTTTTTATGATGAAGTCAAGTAGCTTCGAAAGAGATGAGGTTCATTAAAGGTTTGTACTCAACTATTAAAAGGTGAGATATTTTTTTGTAATGAAAAATGAAAGTGCATTTCTTATCTGTGATTTTAAACAAAAGAAAATCAATGGAAACAATCTATTTATGGTTATTTGTTTAATATTTTGAAACATTTCAATCAAAGCACACAAATGCTTGAAATGAAGACGTCTTATGAAAAAAAAGTCACATTTCAGTTTCATTGTAAAAAGCAAGTTTCCTAAAAAAAAAAAAAAAAGGTTTGCGATATATATTGTGTGCGATAACATCGTAATTGTTGTTTTAACGATGTGCGATTTGACATTATCGAATATTTCGCAAAAAACATTCAAAACACCCCTATAGAGTGCACGCATACATTACGTGAAATCTAGACTATAGTGTGTATGCGCATTAGGGTTTGCACCGACTAATCGACTAGTCGACTTCAATGCTCTGCCATGACGCTTTAAGCTTGACGTCAACTAGTCGCTGGTCCTATAGAGGGCGCAACAGGATAATACATTTTTGAAGGACTTCCACATTTCCAAACAGTTCAAATGACAAATAAATACATACTCTGAAAGCGCTCCACAAGACATGTGTGATTATAATACTGAATGCTCGAAATTGAACGGGAGAATGCACGTTTTAAACAACTTATTTTACAGGTAAGTTAATCGCCGTTCTAATCTAATGCGCTGCTTAATTAAAGTAAAAATATATTTCTCATATAGGCCTATTTATTATTATATTAATATATTATTTATATATATATCCTAGCTTTATGATGTTTTTCTCCGCTCGCAGAAGCGCTGCAGGCGCGTGATGTGATATGATAGGACCATGTGAATCCTCATGTTCTGTTGTTTGCTGCTTTTTGCGCATGTAAAATTAGTCCCCGGGAAACAAATGCTAGTATTTTTAACGGTTCACAGACATTTATCCTTTCTAAATTAATTCAATTCTAATTTAAAATAATCTTGTCGGTTACCGGTTAATAATCGGTTAACGAGCATCGGTTGGGAAAAATAACCGAAATGAACATCCCTAGAATGAACGTACTTCAAAACGGCACATGGAAATTAGGGGAGCTCCGATTGATTGGCTACCGATCACTGTCGGCCGATAATCACGTTGGGATTATTGATCAGCGGTCTCTAAAAAGGCCGATCTCAAGCTGATGACGCTGCCGTGAGAGGATTGGCACGACATTGGCATGGCAGAATCACCGTCTCAGTCTCTGTCCGCGCGGGTGAAATAATTATAATGCTGAAGGTGAGGGGTACTTACCTTCACATTATTAAGTAATTTGAAAACCTTGTGTGAGACGTAATTTCACAAACAGCGTGAGTGAATCACGAGTGAATCAATACGCAAATGGCTTCACACATTGCGTCTGTCTATAAGCGAGCTGCACGCTGCACAGATGACATAGGAATTGTCACTTTCCTATCACATCATCGCTAAAGTTTATAAATTGCATTACTTTTTAATTCTTGCCAGTGTTTAACCATTCAGCACCCGCGCGCTCTCCTGGAGACAGTACGCTCATGCACACTTGCAGCGCGCACACATAATTGCCAGGTTCACATTGCTCCGTTTGCAGTGCATACTAGGGCTGTCAAAATGGCTGAAAAACTAAATTCGAATATTGTACTTAAATATTATCAAAATTCAAATTATATTCGAATTTAAAGCAGCGCGCACACATAATTGCCAGGTTCACATTGCTCCGTTTGCAGTGCATACTAGGGCTGTCAAAATGGCTGAAAAACTAAATTCGAATATTGTACTTAAATATTATCAAAATTCAAATTATATTCGAATTTAAAATGCATAATTTCAGATAGGGTGAAGAAAAGCTTTTGGCTTCTCTCCTGAGGCCACAAGAGGGCGCATCATTCAAAGCATAAGATAACAGCTATCTGCGAAAAAAAGTGCATAATGTTTAAAATAATGTTTATAAACCAATTATAATTAAGTAGCTTAAACAACTATAAACAAAACAGCATCATGTATGTATGCATAGTTTCATACAAAGGGCGCAAAGCCAATCACAGAGTACATTTTTCATTTAAAAACATGAGATGCAGTGGGATGGAGGAAAACCTGCCATAAAGTCTCGATATATGTTTTTTTCAAAGTTAAACTTGCATTAAGTTTACATGGTTTTCTCTTTTGAGCGAGACGCAAGTGCAACAGTAATAGATGTCCATCTAGAACAAAACCGGCTTGGTTTTGGTTTTGATGTAAACAAAATCTTCTCCACATTAATGCTCTATTTTTCCGCAATATTTTTAATGAACAACGCAGCAGCGTCGCATTTAGTGGCTTCAACTGGATAGGTTAACAAAAACATAATGCAATGACACTTACATCATCATCGCATCTCCTGAGCCGCTGATAAGGCTGCCTCCTTAACTCACACCTAAAATTCAAGTGCAATGTTTTTGCATTCGAATGTGGATTTTTATTTTAAATTCGACGAATATTCGAAAAACGTTTTGACAGCCCTAGTGCATACGTGGTGCGTATTTCTCTCGTGCTCTTGTTAACGGATTAATAAATGTGAACACTGCACACTGTTGCTGTCCGGCAGTGCGTTCCAGAAGTGTTGCGTCTGCAGCAGTGCAGAGAATGTTTCCGCACCGAGTCTATTTTTGCTGCGCTGCAAGCGTTGAATTAAAGTGACAGCGCATTGTCTGGAGTAAATATAAACATGGATTGACAAGAAAATGTAGTAATTACACCATAAATGCATATTATTAAAGTCTCCTGTGTTTCACAGTCAACACATATGGCTTTTTGGCTAGGTTTAAAGGGAAAGAGCACTTTTAGATGAAGGCAATAATAGATGGCACTTGTGGAGGTAAAGCGTTGAATTAAAGTGACAGCGCATTGTTTGGAGTAAATATAAAC